GTTAAGTCGAACGTATTTAATGTAAATCCTCTGCGGGTGCAGAGCTTCTGCGCGCGCGAGAGCACAAGAATTATATCTCGCAATAAACGGCAGAGAAGAAGGAAAAAATAAATAAATAAACCCAAGAATGTACACATTTAGATTTGAAAAGTTGTGAGAGCTTGTTGAAAAACTTGCTGCGCGCGCGCGCTGGTAAAAACTTTTCCGACTGTTGATGTTACTTTTTTTCTGTTTTTTTTTCTCTTCTTTTTTTTTTCACCCAAACCAGAGAGTTGTTTGCGGCGAGCTCTTGAACGTTTGACGGGGGGTCTGTACGTATACATACAAGATAGGCATGTACACACAGAGTCGCGGCTGACTTTTTCCCCGAGCCCCAAGTTGTGTTTACATCTCCGCAAAAATTTTTGAAATAAATTTCTATAGATGTTGCACGCGAGAGCCGAGAAGAAAAAACAACATTCGGGCATATCTACACGTTCGCACGCAGACATCACGAAGGCATAAATAACGGAGTCTCACCAAAGTACAGTCGCACGTATATGGCACATACATAGCATATTGAGTCGATCGGCCGCCGAAATGGCTGCGATGCATGAAATATAAATCAGTAATGATGGATAAAATCATAAAAGCCACCTGACGCGCGAGCTCCTATTACTTTGTCCTGCGCCATGTGCCACATATATAGAGAGAAGACAAGCATACGAGTGCACGCCTATGTATATTATGTAAATATACGCGAGATGCAGCAGCAGCGGCAGCTGAGGCGGCCTCTATATGTGCAGCTGCAGCCACGTTCGGGGAGATGCACTTCTAGAACTCTCTACGCGGAAACTTGGTGTATTACCGAGGCGTCGTTTGAAAAATGCGACGCGACTTATACGGATGATTCGAAATCGATTACATCCGTGGGTAATACGGCCGCGGGCGCGTGTTATACGAGGTAATTTCATCGCTGCGGATAAAACATATCCATCAAAATATCGAGCTCGTGGAAAAATAGTCGGAGCTCTGAATTTTTCGGCAAAAAAAAACAAGAAAAGAGAGAAAAGAAAAAGAAAATTGATGACAATATCATTAAGCGCGTGACATCGTAGGACAGACAATCGGAGGTGGTCTCGCTAATGGGATTGCGCAATCAATGCTCACTCTCTCTCCGACGGAGCTGTAATTATGATTGATTTTCAATCTGGTATTAAAATGATCATTCATCGCAGGAAATGCTTTGATACATACAGCATACGTACACACACGCACATACGTACGTAGCTGGCGAGATAGGACATATAATATACGCTGGAAACAAGTCACACATGCCGGGCAATACATACCCGAACGTTCGCACGAGCTGTATAGTTGTTGGTAGAGTGGCGGTCCTGTGGAGTTTCGCGCGGAGCTGCGTGGGAATTAGAATTGACGAATCGAGGTGTATATCGAGGCTTGCAGCAGCGGCAGCAGCATCATGTGCAAATGCAAGTGAGAGAGAGAGAGAGAGGCTCGATGATAGATTGCAGCGCGCGCGTTTACGAGTCAAATAAATTTCAAAGGGATGAAGAGGGAAAATAGCAGCAGTAGTAGCAGCAGGAGGCCGAAGCAGCGGCAACCTGTACGCAGTCAGAGTGTGGGTGGGTATGTATGCGCGAGTATGACAATGAAATTTGAACTGCCAGCTGAGCAAATAACAAAGCGATTGTACGAGCTCGAGCTCTGAGAAACGAACGCGAGCGAGCGAGAGAGAGAGAGAGGGATAGAGAGGACGAGGCTGTGCGCTGCAGGAAAGGTCAATGCGGCAGATACATTTGCAGTATATGTGTGCAGCCAAGCTCCAGCCTCTATCTCTATCTCTATCTCTCTCTCTCGCTCTGCCTGCTGCAGCACACGCTTGAGATCATTTCATTACTGGCCTGGAGAGTACGTGCTAATATCTCAACTTCTATATACCGCGTGCCCCCTCCCGTATGGGTATTAACCTACTGCTGCTGCTGCTGCTGCTATGGCCTGCCGCTGCCGCTATCTGCGCGCTTGTAGCTATCAAATGAAATTTCACGCTTCATGTGTGTGTGTGTGTGTCTGTGTATGCACGTGAACCGGTGAACGTACATATATATGTACGTTAACGTATACAGTGTGTAAATTACGTCAAGCTCAAGTGCTGCTATGCCTCGCTGAGGGAAAGAGAAATACACAAGACGTCTTGCACTTAGAGCTTTACGCGCGCGCCCAGACATCCTTTCTCGTACACAACGCGGAACGAATCATAGGGAATTTCACAGAATCAAGCGTAACGTATGTACTAAATGCGATTCTTGGCGAACGAGTTAACGGGAGTTCATTCAATGATACGCGGGAAAAATGCTAATTAAATATTGGGTAATTCAGAATTTCTAAATAAATAATAAATTTCCCGCGGAACAGCTATAAGCATATTTATATTTATAGAGCGCAGCGGCAGCAGCACAACTCGTTCTCTCGACTCTGTTTTGAACATTTTCTCTCTATTACAACTGGGGCGTCGAGCGAGTAATATACAAGAGCAAATATCGAATATTTATCCCGTACGGCGCGAGTTGCTCGCACTTATTATATAAATGCGATATATATCCACCCAACGTTTCTATCAAGGTTGATGTATAAAGCTTATACACGAGCGAATTGTGCACTGCTGCCGCATCACGAATTTGAAAAGGCAAAAAATACTCGGCACCAGTATCATATAAATAGGGTTTCGAATCAAAAGCAAACATGCCGTGCGCATCACGTCCGGTATCAATATTACACAAACACATACACACACATGCAAAGTGCATACACACGTAGACACTTGAACGCAAAAGCAAAGCAAAGATATACATACACACACGCACGAATGCACGCAAAGGTACATAACAAACACCAAAGTATAAGGTACACATACACACACTGGCACACATTGGCCATATACTATACATCGCCAGAGAAGGGACGCAAAGGGAAAAAGCTGCGCGAGATAATCGTTTTAGAAATACCCGCATGCTGCCGATCGAGCAACAGTATAGTGGCGGGCCGGTGCGCGGCTCATACGCTGACGCCCGGCTCTATAAAGCTCACCTACACAGGTAGGTATACATAATGTTTATAAACATACCCTGGCATATATGCTGCTGCTGCGGAGCGACACGTCGAGCGGGGGCTCTTCTCTCGCACACACATAGACATGCTGCTGTATGTAGCTGTCTCAGTTGTATCGACGAGATGCCGTTATATTGCCTCGCTTGTTACGCGCTCGCGCGTACTACGCCACACGCATACACTGCAGCACATACCTACATAGGTATAGACTTCGCCGAGGTAATTGAGTTTGGTCTTGGAGCGCAGACAGGCTGGCAGGCAGGCGGCATCACCGACACCAGTGATAAGTATACAAGTGCCATCGTATCTAATGTATTGGTGACATCGCGTGTGCAGATACGACTGGAGCACTAATACAAATATGCATATTATACGTAGGCAAGTGCAAAGAGATAGTCCTGGACTGCGGTATCGAGAGTGAAAACTTATTTTGATGCATCGATGGTTCGGTAATAAAGGGCAGAGAATCTAAGCTTCCAAAGTTCAGCAGCACAATCCATTTTCCAAATTAGCCTCATTTATAACTTTTCGAAAAATATATTTGTCAGTAAAAAAAAGATAAATCAAAAAATACGTTGATACACATTTTTCCTCGCAATCGATCCATCCACACATGTAGCGTGTATTAAATGTAAAAGGTATTTTTGAAAAAATTTTTTTTTAAATAATTTTTTTTTGAAAAAAAATTTTTTTTTTTTCTTTTTTTATACTTTGCCGGCTAGGTGCTACCGCACCTCTTGATACACACATTAACGTGTGCTCGCGTAATCCTACAGCGCACGGCATTATAAATACCCTTATTTTTATCGAAAATCAGAGCTGGCTCATCTCCAAAAGTTTAACTTATACCTTTCAAATATTTTATACATACAGTGTCCGCTTGTATTTACGTATATGTATACGTACTATTCATTTTTTTTACTCTGTATATTTGTATTTGTATTCCGTGCATATATTCATGAATAAAGTAGTTCGGAGTCGAAATGCCGCGAGAGAAGCTTTTGCATACGCGCGAGAGCTGTATTATACATCTTTGGCATGCACTGCACCAACAGCTGTCGACTAATCTATTACTTTTGCGCGCCGTATGAAACTCTTAACTTGCCCTTGCCGATGTTTCGATTATGTATTTTCGAGGAATACAATAGGTACATACACGTAACGCGCCTAAGCCTAAATCCGTTCGTTCGATTTTACAAACTTTGCGAATGTACTCACATTTACCTGCAGCTGTATAACGATAGAACGTTCAATCGGCCCAAGTTGAAGATTCGAACGTTTACACGTTTAACGGCCCGTTGGATAGTTCATGCGATTCGAAGCGTTGCCTTGTATAATAGAAAATGATCTCTCGCGATGAACAAAACAGAACGCTGTAGCGCCAGTATTAAAGGTGCATTGTGTGCGCAGTGTAACATATACTACATTGTGCATCGAACGCACCAGCAGCGGTTGCGCGCAAATGTGGAACGAGCGACTCCTCTTACGGTCGCGCGATACAGGTATTTTGTACACACTGACATTGCACTACTCTGGTTCTACGTATACGCGCAGGCAGGTATATATAACAGTGACACAGACACACACAGACGCGAACTTCATATGGGCTGTATACACGCACACATCAAAAGGGGGTGGTAAAAGGTTGCACATATATATATAAACTAGCCACCACTGCTGCCGCTGCTGCTGCTGCTGCTAACGCGCTGTAGACCGATAGAAGAGAGAGAGAGAGAGAGAGAGAGGTAGAGGTAGGTAGAGGGTGGCGCCACTGGCGCGCGCTTCCGTCGAGTTCGAAACTAAGCCAGAGAGTCGAGACTGTGCGCCCGCATCGTACGTTGGGGTGTTCGGGCCGCTTCTTCAGTCGACGTCAGCCGGCGTGAAGGCTCGCTCGTTCGCGTTTTCCCGCCTTTCACTCTCGCCACTCGCTGCTCACTCACTGTGCGTAACGCCGTCGTCTTTATTTCCCTCCCCGAGCTCTCTTTTATTTATTTTCGGTCCATCCCGCACGCAGCAGAGTAGTAGTCGTCGTTTCATCAGCGATACGTAACGTACGAAACGCGCGAGTCGGACGGTTAATTTCGTTTTCTTTTTCGCGCGCGCGCGCGCTCGCGAGTGCGTCTCTCTCTCTCTCTCTCTCTCTCTTCGTTTGGTGGTGCATGTGCTGCGATGTTGTAATATGTGTGACACAGCTGAGCCCGCGACGACGGGAGCGACTCGAGCTCGCGGCCGGCCCTTTTACGCATAAGTAAGGCCACACGAGAGCGAGAGCAGCTATCCACAATCGGCAATTATTATGCGAGTTTCGCTGCTACTGCTCGGGGGCATCGTCGTGCTCTCGGTCACGGTCGCCCGAGCTCTGTCCTGCGTCTGCTCGCCCCTCGAGTGCGATCCCATCACGCTCGCCGACTGTCCCGACGGTCTCACCTGGGACCCTTGCAAGTAAGTCACGCAGTCTAATGATATACCTGCATTACATACACTGCAAACCAGTGTAGTGCAGTGACGCGATGCAATATAAGCGAGTATACACGCGTATTATCGCGAGTCAATAAAATCGGGTTTATTAGGATCGCGATTATCCTACTTTCGGGGCCTGCGTGTAATGTCAATGACTCGAGCCGGAGTTTTTTACTTGACCTCGAACGAGAGAACGCTTCGCAGCAGTTTGGAATTTTCCAGCTCGAATACTATCATCCTTCGAGTATCTCATCTGTGATCTAGCTTCGTGCTCCCGACTCTACTGCTACTGCCATTGCTACCTCCTCCTCTAGCTCTCTATGTATAGCGCCGAGATATACCTGTTTTTTCCTCGTGCACTTGAAAACTTTATACATTATTTAGACGTATGACATTAGCTCGATCGTGGCCCCGAATCGCTCGCATATAGCCACGTTTAAATTCAACTCGTTCGCTCTCTATCTGTCTATCCATCTCTGCAATTTCCTCTCTCACTCCGCATCGCTCGACTGTATTTTTAGAATAAATGTAAAATTTGATGAAAAGCGCAAAATATCCTCGGGTGTGCGACATTCGATGAAAAAGTAATTGGTTTTCGTTACATGTTTTCTCGCATTGTCAGTCGCGGCCACAAATAACACCTTCGATGCCGCAGCTGCTGCTGCTGCACGGTATCGACAGCGAGAAAGTGTTTGCGGCCACACGTTTATGACTTATTTTTATTTTTTTTGTTTTATATAAAAAAAGTATTACACCGCGATTAGCGCCAAGCGGATTAACGTCTGTCGAAGCAACGAAGCGTGTATTTACAATTGGCTTCGGAATCGCACACGCCGAGCACGCAGCATGAATGGAATATAAAGACCAGTGCACCAGTAGGTAGCAGCGCTGCTGCCGTAGTGTTGCTGCAGTATAGTAATGCAGTCAATGTGCACACTGCAAATTGAGGTTATACACAGACGATCGAAACGACGAGTGCTAACGCGGGAGGTAGGGGACACGACGAACTGCAGGAGGATATTTATCGGGAAAATGTTTTTCTACCCTCTCTCCGTCTGTGTCTGCCGCTGCGCGGCGGAAGCGGTTAACGCATACCTACCTGTGCATTTACCTGCCAGATGGATAAATAATAACCTGCGATTGAACTGCTTTATTCCTTTTCTTCGCTCACTCGGCTCTCTCTCTCTCTCTCTCTCTCTCTCTCTCTCTCTCTCTCTGTATAAATAAATGAATTGCGCGCTATTTTCTCCTTCTTTCTTGTTTTGAGCAAAAACTGCCGACTTCGGAGTTTTTCCTTTCTCTTTCTTTCTTTCCTTCTTTCATTCTTTCTCCGAGCTCTAAGTGGTTTGTTTTTATACCCGTGAAAAGCTCTTTTTTACAACTTGCGCGACTTTGGACCCCCCTCGTTTTCTTAGATCTTACACCTTATGCGCTCTTCCATCATATATAACTACCCTGTTGGCATTGAAAAGGGAACGAATAGTTTCTTGAGCTCGTGCTGTTTTTTTCCCTAGCTGTGCTCGGCGCTCGTGTAATGGAAAAGCAAAAAATCACCGCTAATTAAATGAGCTTGATTATAGCTGCAGGGGGGCCGAGTCTCTTTCTCCCTCTCACTTTTTTTCTTCTATATTTATGTGTTTACGTGCGCGTGTGTCCAGCTCGACTTTGTTCGGTCACGCAGACTCATAATGCATATAGTTTGCAAAACATTATTTTCTCTTTCTTTCTCTCGAGCTGGAGCTCTCATAAATACTCGCTTTCGAGATCGCGTATAATTGACGCTCGTGAAAATTGTATTATCGCCCGGATCATGAGTGACAGTCGTCGGTGTCTTAGAAAATTAAATCTCATTCAGCTTGCGAGCGATATCAGAGCCGTGTATAATAAACTTTCGTTTCGACGATAAACAACGAATGCACACGAATACGTATGCTTCGAGCGATGCGCAAAAATTAAAGTGTACACACGAGTTTACATACTCGAGTGCACATTTACTCTCCTATATATTATACACATGATATTAAAGTATGAATCAAATGGACATTTCCACTGCTGTTACAGATGTTGCAAAGTATGCGCCCGAGTGGAAGGTGAGCCGTGCGGCGGCCTCTTCGGCTTCTCCGGCAAATGTGCCGCAGGTTTACAATGCCTCATTAAGAACTTGGTGCCTCATCCACGCGAGTCGACCGTCGACGAGGGTGTCTGCACAAGTGAGTAATTATAACTTTTTACAGCCGCGACAGGCACTGCTGGGTACGCGGCACGGCAAGGCACAGCACCCCCTGCGCACAAATACTGCACAAAGACTCACGAACACACGAAGCTACGCAGTTGTATACATGTGCGGGCGACACGCAGTAAACGCGCTCTGTTTATCCATATAGCAGCAGCAGCAGCAGCAGCATTTGTATATCTGCACGCGGAGCCGCACGAGCAACTTTGCCTTGTAAATTACATCGCTCGCGCGCGCGGACTTGTGTATACGCGAATGAACTCTTCGTCTGGCGCGCTCAGCAGTATATATGTACCTACATATTGCGATGAAAACGTTGATTTTATTGCATCGCTGAAATGTATAGAGAAATTCAGACTCGTCGGCTTCGTGCTCTCGGGGTCGGGGGTGAGGCTGTTAAACATGAAGGCGCGCACATGTGTGCGCAAACAGACGAGAACGCGCTGTACACAGAATTATCAATTTTTAAACTTATATATAATACGATGCATACGAACGTACGCAAAAAGTGAGGAGGAAAAAAGTGTGTTTACACGCTTGGATAAATCAAAGCTCAGGGAACGTGGATAGTGCATAATATACTTATACACGCGTGTGCCGAGTACTATAGGCGAAAGAGAGGGAGAGAAAGCGAGAAGGACGGAGGTAGAGCATACGTAGAGATGAAAATGCATTTTACGTTTTTCAGTATACAAGAATACGCGGGGAATTCTTTCTCTCGTCGTTGCCGTCACCGCCGCCGCCATGAAAGAGAAAGAGAGAAAGGATAGTGTAGCGAGCAACTTGTAGAGCAGCTATATACATGGTGCTCGCTAGCTCATGCCAGCAAGTGCATAGTAAGGGAAGCGGAGGGGTGGGAGGAAAAAAAATAGTTATAAATCTTTGTTTATGATGTCGAGCTCGCCGCGTGCGCGACAACGAGAAAAGAAACTTAGCCTCGCAACTAGCTTGCGGAGCTACTACCATCTACAACTACTACTCGTTCTCGTTTTTATATTGGCTTACGGAAGCGACTACGACGCTCTAAAGTATTTTCGTTAAGGAGCCCTCGGTGTCGGGTCGTTATAGCCCGCCGCGCGTGTCTGTGCGCGCTCTGCAGACGTCGTATAGGAAAAATTGCACTCGCACACACGAATGAAGGGTATAGCGAGGGTGCGAGATTGCGGCCACGTGATTCTGATTATTTCATCATCTTTGTATCTGCGAAAGCACCGGTTACGCTGGCGCGTCACCGTACATAGCAAAAGAAATCCGCAAAACTGTTATGAGATAATAAGACGCGCGGCTTGGCTATACTAGTTTTTATTTTATATACGGTATATATCTGCCATGCTCGCGGCATTTCGCCATTATACTTCGAGCCGAGAAAAAAAGGACGGAGGATCGTGGACCGCCTAAACGTGTACTGTATAAGATTGGTTTCATTTACCTCGGGCGGCTCTCTTTTAGCTCGATGTCGCGCGCAATGATGAAACGTAAAAGTGCTCGTAAAGAGCTATATGCAGCGAGGATGGATAAAATTGTTCGGTGTATTTCCTTCCCTTTCAAACCGTTTATTAAAAAGGACATTTTTTCTCCGTAAGACTGCGCGCAAAGCAAAGCAAAGCTGTTTGGGTACAAAATGTCAAAACTGTTTGTTGGCTTTTGTAGAGGTCGGTTTAAAAAGAAAACGATCGCCGCTCGAAGCGAATTACTTTTGCGATTACCTTGTAACCTTTTACCGAGCCTAATGAAAACCATCAAATTATTAACCGTCAAAAGCACTCCAGCTAAATTCTTCTTAAATTACAAAATAATTAAAAATTCTTTTACTTTCTTCATCCTCTTAAAATGTGAAAATGAAAAAGGAACGGAAAATACTTGAAAGAAAACGTGCAAGAAAGCCTCTTTGCCAGTTCTCTGATCTCCCTCTCTCTTTCTCTCCTCTCACTTTTTTTTTTGTACACTACTGTACATTTGACTCGTCGGAGGAGCCCGAGTGGGTCGAGTCGGCGTCAAATAAAGAAGAGCAAGAAAAAATTATGACTCCGCGCGTTGGGGCTCTGATTCGATTGTCGATACAAGCCAAGCATCACAAAAGCGTTGCATCGATCGTATCTTTTCCAGGCATTTCTCAGTTTGATTTTCGCGTAAACTCGTAGAACATTACTGAGATATTTTCAATATTAAGCGCATCTAAAAACAAAGTTATCGTTTTTATCCCTTCTCTCCTTTATTTGTTCGCAAGAACAGCTTCGAAACTGTGCATGCCTCAAAGGCTATATACATGTTTTTTTTCTTTTTTTTTTCATCATATTGTTGCAAGATCTGAATTACTGGAGCGCGTGTAATGTCACTCTCTTACGTGCTCCATACGCGAAAAGCCGTGGAGAAAAGAAGGAGATTAAATTTGCGTTCACGAGTATTGCGCCCTTTTCTACGTCACTTTCTGGGGTACTATATAGCTCGCTCCTCTTTGTATACATACGCGCGCGGGGTTTAGCTGATTCTGCAGCAAGAATTCGTATAGGTATGCGCGAGCGCAAACTCGTAAATGTGTGCGTGTGTATGTGGGTATACTTTAAGGGCGCGCACATAAGTCTCTCTCTCTCTCTCCGTCTGAGGCGACGACGACGACGTCGGCGGCTTCTTGAGCGTGAAGAAAATTCGAAAATCCAAATGCAGATGTATATCGAGCGGGGAAATCTAAATATGTGAACGACGCTTTTCCTATCTTTATACCTATCGCTTATTTTTTCCTGATATCGCGCGGCAGAATGCATTATCGGGTAATGCGCCTTTGCGTGCATGAGTTTTGGGCAATAATTTCGCTTGCGCGTAGAAAGCTTTTTTCTGATTTTAAAAGGCGAAAAAAGCCAGCATTTTTCACATCGGCGATTTACTTACTTCAATGTACCGTGGCTGCTGCGTAGCGTAGGTACAAAGAGACTTTTTTATGATAATTCGAAAGCTCGTTACGCAGTAATGGGGCGCTGGAAAGAATTAAACGGAAGCTGAGGTGATGCGCTAATTTAAATGCGAAAACTATTGATACTCGTGCGTATCGTCTCGTTTACATGCATAAGTGAACAAAATGTATATTAGTGAAACAAAATAATACTGAAACGAACGAAAAGTATGGTGGATGAACCTTTCAAGGTATATTTCAAAGAACTGCTTTATAGAAAAGCGATGCAGCAAATTTCGTTGAATGTGCCTCTCGCACACGCGATCTTTATGAGAAATCGTATTGCACCATTCACCTGGCAAATACGTGAGAGAGATATATACTCTTACAATATTTTCAGCAGCAACCTCTTCTAATAATACAAAAAATTTTCATTTTTGAAATGCGTGTTTTCCTTTTTTATTTCCTTTACTCTGCGTCCTCTGGAAAAGAAAATTCATGTTACGAGCGAACTCTCTCGTTCGTGCGAGAGAACCTGGAAAACCGACAGTTTACATAAAACTCACACGACGCAAGACTTATTTTGATAAAGAACAAAAGAGCACGGCGAATGCGCGCCAAGTCAACCAACACGCTGGACATACCGAAAGTTGCTAAACTATTTCCCCCTTCTCGGTTTTGCAGAAATACCAGGCAGAATGAGGCGGCACTGCGCCGGCGGACCGATACTGTCGGAGGCCGGCTGCAACTTGGTCGGCGAGGGCTCCTCGACGTCCGAGCTGGACGGTTCGCAGGACGCCGGCAAATGCGTCTGCGGACATCCAGTCCTGTGGTGTCCCGAGGACCCGCAGCCCTACATGTTCAAAACCAAGCACGAGTGCGAGCTCAACTTGGCTGCCAAGATGGCCTATGGTACGTACAGACATGCATGCAATTACTCTCGCGGAGCACTTTCATGCACGAAAACGTGTCGTACATGTAAAAGTCGGCATTTTGAATCGAACTTAAGATACGCCGCAAAGATGTTGTTTGTGTTTCCCTTTCGCGCGCGTGCGACATGGGACGTCTAATCCGAACTATTGGTACTCTCGTGACCCACATGAAGATGAAAGAATGCGGCGTCGTCGTCTCGAGCGGCAACGCGACAAAGCTCATCTGTAAACATTATCCTGATGCAAAATCAAAGTTGTGACAAAGTACAAAAGCGGTTTTGCACGCGCGCGCGAAAGTAGGACAAAAAATGCGGCTCTCTCTCGCGCGCACCCCAATACAGACGTGTATGACTTGCACACACGCGCATGTGTGTACACAAAAGATCAAAGAAAAGAATCCTTCAACATTGCTCAGGGAGATATGAGAATGAAAAGAAGAGTTGAAGAGAGACTGGATTGTAGTTGGAACAAAGCTCGGTGTAAGCTTTATACTACTTTGGAAAAAAAGTTGGTGAGGAATAAGTTCTCCATCAATGCTTTTGGACCGCACGCGCGCGCGCGGGCACTTTTTTACACAAGTGTACACTTTGTCATTGTCCTGTAAATTGGGACTTTTTTTTGTGTGTGCTTCCCGGTGCGCGCGCTGCGTGCGCACACACATTAGTTTCTTTTAAGACGAAAGCCATATAAACGTACGATACATATATATATGTACGCCCGAGCGGGCGGGCATCAAACGAAGAATCTCGCGAAACAATGAGAGCCCGAGCGTTAACAATGTTGCCAGGAGCGCCCAGCCGCGCGCAGTTTGGCGTTAATGAAAAGAAAATACCGATATACAGCGCTCGACATGAACCAACAAAAAAAGTACATCTTTATCTTTGACGTCAAAGTGCAGAGCCAAGTTTTTTTAGCCCTCGTTTATATCGTGTAAAGTCAAATAGAACTCCTTTCATTCTTTTTGCCTGCGCTCGCTGCCCTCCTTTAGACCGCGCGTATAAATATATTTGAATTAATGGAATCAAGTCGATCGAGAGTTACAGTCTTTGGTTACCAGCGCATTGCTAACTGCTTTTAATTTTCCCTCGAGAGCGTCGGTGACAACCAGCCGCGTTATTATCGAGTGAAATCCGAGTCCTCGGCTCATTGCTCGGAGCTGCTGTACGTGGAGCATTATCTTACTGCCGACAGAGATACACGCACTAATAGTACGTATATAAACGCGAGCGTCATAGCCTCGAGTCGGAAGAGTTTGTATGCCCCGAGTCCTTGAAATGAAAAAAAATACGTATCTCTATCGACTTACACGAGAGAGGGAGGAAGAGAGAAAGCGAATTAGCCGAATTCGTAACTTCATCATTGCATCGGTTACTTTCGTCCATTGGCATCGGAATGCCTATATATACACACACAAAACGGCACAGAATGAGCGAGAAAGAGAGACTACTGAATGGGGAGCATTGTCGAAAATTCTAGCTTCATCGAACAAGTTGAGTAAAATGGATTATTCAGCGGATCTCCGCCTGGAACTTGTTAACACCCTTCCTCCCTCCCTCTCTCCGGCTCTCCCCGTTGCGAGCGTAATACTATAGAACGAAAGAGAAAGAGAGTCAGGTTCGGGTCATCGTTGCAACTAAAGTACAGAGAAGACTTGATTAAAACTCTAGCACCTGGCCAATATACGTGGACATTTTCCTTGTCCACTACCACGGCAACGCGACCGGGCAGCAGCAGCAGCCCCACTGCGAGGAGCAGTGCGAGCGAACAGAAGAGCTCTAGCCCCGAGACAGAGAGAGCGAGTAAGGGAAGAAAGCACTTCTTGGACGAAGAAGTAATGCACTGTACAAAACTCAGTTATATACTTTCTTACCGATGAAAAGTTTCCCATTCAATTCGCCCGATGATAAAGTTTAATTGCACGGATGGAGCTGTTCACGCGCAACAATACAGCGAGTAGTAGTACGCGCCGCGCGAAAGCTACATAGCGATCATCGAGATTATTGTTATTATTATAAGCGCCCGTGTAAAGGAACGCTGCGCACAAATTTTTACCCTACGATTTCCAAAATCTAATAACTCGACCTCCAGCATCCATAGTGTAGCGTGGTAAGGTGAATAATTAACGGATCGTATATTAGATTCCCGAGCTCGAGAAAATTTTATGACAAATTCAATTTCCGCACAACGCATTGACAATTTTCCCAAATTAGTTTGCGCAAATAGCGAAATTCTGCAAGAGCTAGTGTAATTCCATTTGTGCAACGAGAAATCATATTTAATAGTTTATAAACTTGGATTTTATCAATTAATTATTTCGCTAAAACTTTCTTAATCCCATCAGATTTTAAAGTCTCTTTATAGTAACTAAATAAGGTGTTGATTATCTCATTCAGGAACAATTTGTAAGCACCATTCCTGAAGTTGAGATCATTTCAAAGGCGAAGTCATCGTGTGTTTCCAATTCCTTTAATTAGAGTCTTTTTTTTAACAAACTTCGTTGATTACACAAATCAGTGGAGCATGAGAGAGAAAAAAAAATTAATGAGCATTATGATTGCATATTAACCGGGTAAAAAATATCGGAGTTTGTTTATTCGTTCGGAAGCTCCGATGAGAAAAAAAAACAACTAAAATAGTCTCACCTATACGCATGAAAGGCAAACAGATAACGAGTCTTATAAGTTATAACTAACTCACTTATTCGATTCGTAATGCCCTTTTGCTCTCTGTAATCTCTTAACGGGAATGAGAAAGTTTTAATTTAATTGGAAATATTTTAATATTCATCAAAACAGATTATCTACAAATTTTCTTTTCAAGAAAATTTCGCAATACGTTTTTTTGAGAGCGAGCGATGATAACTCGGGGGAAGAGATTTTTCGTTGAAATATACATGTTAAACGAAAATTGGTCAGTATAACTGGAACTTGGTGTGCATGCGCGCGTGTAGTAGCCGAGCTTTCAACATCCCTCCGGTGTATGTAAGCTAACTGGAAGAACAGCGAGCAGCTCGCGATTGAACTACCCATAACATTTGTAACGTTTGCAGAGCGCCGAGCACCGTACAAGCAGCTCACAATCGACATCCCATCGCTCGCTCTCTCTCTCTCTCTTTTTGCTCATCCTGTTCGAATAATATCCCCTTTCGACGTGCGTGCTGCGCCTCGTGCGCAAAGGATCCTCGATCCTCGTATATTTTTGCCTGTAATTCATCGCGTAACTTTTTTTTCGCAACATTTTTTGCAAACCCGAATCCTGTGCTGCAGGCCGAACACCGGTGAAATATTCAAAGTTTTTTCTCGGTCGCTCGGCGCAGCGCATAACAAAAAGAGAGAAAAGCACGTATATTTACTCCGGGCCGGGCCAGAGGGTGTATATAGCGCGTATAATTCAGCGAGTTGAAAGTAAATTAAGCCATCGATGCGGAGTGCTCCAGTTACAGCTCTCGTGCATGAGCGAGGTAGTAGGTAGCTGCATTCAATTGGCTACTAAAGCCATTATGAATCAGTCGAGTGGCTGCCTTTTCTGTACGTGTGTATCGGCACAATATTAGGCAAAGGCACAACGAGGCATTCGCGAGTTCGATTATAAGGAGAGAGAAATGAGAAATCTGGAGACCCCTTTGAAGCTCGCTTAGAGGGAGAAAGATCTAAGGCGTAGTACACTTCTACTGCTGCAGCTCCTACTGCTGCCGAGCGTTTGACGTTCGATGATCTTTGAAAGCAAGAGCCGGAGACTGCCTTTAAGTCAGTATATATAATGATATACATCTATTCTCCGCGAGAGACGAGTGTCGAATCCTCCCGAAGATTATACATAAGCGCCTCTTGAAGCAACGATTAAACATTCTATCGCGTCATTTTGCGAAAGCAAAAATACAATTCTGCGTTATTTTCTTTTGCGCTTATGTGAACGCGCGTCCGCCGCCGTATGCTTGGAAGATAACACGTTAATTTACTTTGTTTGTATTTCAGATGGACTGTACGAGACCGCAGAAACTTCGGCAGATAACGGTAAGCTGGCTCATTTAATTAGAAAACTTGTTGAAGTCCGCCGCGAATCTTAATTAGCATTGTTTAGTGCTTATAGCCAATAAAGTCAAACAGATTGTGCGCGCTGCTAATTTTCTGCCGAGATAACTTTGCCAAACGAATTTAATGAGCAGACGTATAACGCGCGGAACGGCGCCCCCGCGCGCGTGCAATTTCGGAATAAAATACAACTCTCCGGGTATTTTCTTTTATAACTCCTGAGTGATATTAAAAACGGTTTTGCGTACGCCTTGTGAAAGATGCCGTTCTTTGATGCTTAAAGTATAAAGGCTCGTTGTCTTTTTTCCTTCCTCCTGCTCCTCATCATCATCATCTTTTTCTTCTTCTTCGAGAAACTCTTAACTCGAGGCTAATGATGCCGTTGCATCGATCGCGAAAAGTCCAATATTTCACCCTCTGCTTTGCAACTATGAGCGAAATTTGCGCCGATCAAGGACACTTATCGCTCGGTGATATATTCGGGCACACGTGTGTCCTCGAGCAATCGTGGCTTTTTAGGCGACGTACAATCGATACTTCTCTTTCCTCTTATACTTTGCGTGGCGCGCGCACGCGACGCGATCGCAGAGTCAAAGAGGGCAAAAAAGAATCCGAGCACTTTTCTCCGTAAACGCGTATATATTCGGAAGGATCCTGATAGATTCAAAAGAAAAGTTCGACTATCCTGCACACACACATACAAATAGAATTGATGATAAAAGACGTAGTAAGAGATGGGTGGCGCTAGCTGGGGTGCGGACAATCGTGTCGAATAAACTTGTAGTATGGGGTATTCGTACATAAGTATGCAAAAAGAATTCTTTCTATCAGTCTGATAGATCTCTTCTTCTCTTTTTCTTTCTCGATTTCCTTCCTCTATGGTTCTCCTACCTCTCTCTCTCTCTCTCTCTCTCTCTCTCTCTCTCTGTCTCACTATCTCTCTCTTTAGTTCACTCGCACATATCACTTTTCTTTCAACAAATTTAAGCGGACCTTTGAAGTTTTCTCGCTATCGAAAGCATTCGCTCGTACGTTGAATTACCACAAATACTCACACGCGAGTAAAGGAGAGAGAGGTTGAATTTCTCAAATTCCAAATGTCGGAACTGTGGAGCTTACTCTCTCCCTCTCTCTCTCTCTCCCTTCCTTTTCCACGTATATACGCGTATAACGCGTCCAGCGATTTTTTCGCTCGACCGACCGACTTACCTTCTCCAGCTCGTACAATATTCAGCAATGGCGAAAACGAATGGCTCAGGGTATACGAACAGACGAATATGAATTACTTTTCTCGTTTGAAATGCAGCATTTCTTGCCATAACGCAAGCAGGGCGAGTAGTATTATAAAGCTAGAAACTAGTTACGTTTACTTTTCCGGATACGCATCGTTCGACAAGAAAAATTACATCAAACTGTTTTCCTTTGCGAATGATCAATCGATATAGTCCGTTTGTCGAGGTTTTTTTACCCCGACTTATTTATGAAAAAATATTGAGAATGCTCCAATATAAAATAGTTGAATGGTAAATCAAACTAGTTATTTATGTAGGTACACGTGTGGACTTGTTGATCGTTTAATTTCAAAGCTAAGTTATGCAATGATATAACATGTTGACTTGTTGACATTGAATTTCAAACTCGCGCTCTAAATCGAATGAATATTTTTCCTAATTTATAAATCTGTTTGAAGAAATGCTTGGTCCACTGTGAGATTGTATTTTTTTTTTGTAACTCGCTCTTTCTTTCTTGATTTTGAAAACAACGTCCTAATTATTTAAACTTACAAAAATGTTCTATTTGATCTGATGTTACGAAAATAGTAAAATGATTGAAAACACATGTGAGGTATTTGTTGAAAGTTCGCTCTAATTTTATAAAGTTGTTGGCATTGCAATGAGATAAAGTCAATATCAAATTTAGTCGACTCAATTAAAGTCCCGAAAACTAAAATTCCGTCCTGTAATTCATGCAACAACTGACTTTTCTTTCGGGTTTCAGCTATTCTTTAGATTATACTCCGAGTAAATTTTGTCTATTCCAACACGCGTCCCGTATAAAATTATATTGTATCAATGTACCCCCTTTTATATAATATATAATACATACAACCAGAGTTGTGCGCTTCGCTACGTGCCGCGCAGGACACACACGCGCGACTGGTTTCGACTGTGGCAAAATTATGAACAACTATGGTATATATCGTATGCCGCAAGATACACGCCGGATACGTGACTGTGAGACCAAGTGCGCTCTTTCTTTTTCCTTTCTTAACCCTGCGCGCAAATTCAAATGATAGTTTACGCCTGCTCTCTCCAGTTTGTTTACGTGTCTTCTGAAATTGGTGTTAGGGCCGTATTTCTTCACCCCAAAATTACCTCGAGCTCTTTCGCTCTGGCGTAAATTTTTTCACGAATCAGCCATTGTTTCTTCGTTAAGAGAATCCAATAAACTCGCTCAAATTTCGATGCCACGCGCAGAGAACTAGTATAAAATCGCGTAGCTTCCCTCCTACCTCTGTAATAGAGCGAATATAAAAGAGAGAGAGAGAGAGAGGCCGAAAAGGTAGATGCAGTTATTCGTGCGATAAAGTTCTACATAAAAAAAACAAACTCGTTAGAGCTAGCCAACGACTAGTAAAGCCCAACGGCAATCGGTGTTTGGCTTGTTTTTTTCATCTTCTTCCATACCATTCGCTCTCTTACAAGCGCCGGCCTCCTGCGCTGCTGCCGTACGCTGAATTTAGCGCCGGACTGTTTTATGTATGCATAGATGCGGCCATGCGTGCATTGATTGGGACGTTACGATTCTCTTTATCAGCTATTCACAGAGCCGAGAGTAGCATCCGACGCGGGGGTAGTAAATATTGCGCCCCGAAGGTCTGCGCGCTTCGACAAATGCGTATTGCTGTGTTACTAATCCGGGCGCTCGACATTAATAGTTTTCTGCGACGCCTATCTGTACGTGGACGTGGTAGTCGAGTCAAAAACTGCCGCTACATGCGTTCCCGATGCATATTCAGCTTTTAAATAATTTAATAGTACCAACGTACGATATTAAATACAACGTATTTTTTCGGCCAATAAATGTGATTAATGTGCCGTATAGATTGAATGAATAACGTATTTTTTTTCCTACTTCGAGCATCGACTTGAAAGAAAGATTTATATTCGCACTGGCCCGTGGTGTACGCTCGATACGTGTCCCCGATATATGTACGTACGTATTTGCTCGGACTCGTACATAGTTGACATGAATTTAGAGCTTTTGAAGTGTGTACTTTTTAGCTTGCGCACCACGTCCATCGACGAGTATCTATTGCCTATCAACAATATGTTTCTGTTTCCAAAAAATTCATTTTCCCCGCGCTGCTGCCATTGCGTCGTCGTTCTTCATCAGAGGTTATCTATCATCAGGAGAAAAAAAATTATGACCGACTGCGCGCCGGGTATCTGTAGTTATCGTGTCGTTGTTAAATTTATGCCTTACTGCACTTTTATTATAATATTGCGTGCAATATTCTTGTCGAAGAAGGGGAAAAACCGAACAGGGTCATTAGTCGATATACAACGTCAAGAATGAGATGCGAAGCGAACGTCGTGTATTATATTACACTTTTGAAATGTCAATTCTGAGGCAATATCGTGGAAGTAAAGCACTGCTGTTTACGAGCTCGTAAAAGTCCTAGACGATACATTGTAGGTTGTTCCAAGGGTCGAGGTAAGCAGTGCGCGCGCGCGCTTTATGTATATACACGAAATTGCCCTTTAGCAGATTTGCCTCGTTTATAATTCAATCTTCTTGACAACGTGCTGCACTGCTAAATTATATACCGATGAATAAATAAGCTCGTCAAGATTTTTTTTCGATAAATTTTATGGTAAATTATGTAATTTTTAAATTTCAAGTTTTCTTTTTTGATTGATTTCCAAATGTACGATAATGAGAACGAATATTTTAGTCATTGATACTATTGTCTCACTTTGACCGGCTCAGCAAAGTTTTATATAGGTCGATACTTGCTGAAAGCCCTTTTGCATTTGTAGTAGCGTCGTGGAGTTGCTAAAAAAATTATTTATTTAATTAACACGTTTATTCTTGCTCGCTTGATTTAATTCTAAAAATATTCTTTGATTCAACACGAGGGTCGAGGTACGATGACTGATGTTACGATTATTTTACTACTTGAAAGTTATTGAACTAAATTTTGCTATTTATAAGAACGCCAAAATATCATCTAAATTTAACTCGTTAGAATCGTTTAAATCTAATTAATATTTTATTACGGCAGTAGCGCTCGGTATCATCGAGTTTAGTCATTTTTTTAACGATTCTCCTTGCAACCAATCAGTGAAATTAGCTAAAGTAAGTTTTTAACAGATAAAACTGCGGTTAAACAGTCGTTGAGCTGCTCGCTCGTTCCGACTCTCTTTCTCTTCTTCAAGTTAGTGAAGTCTGCAGAGAGAAAACGAGCTTGCTCTCTCACACGCGCGCGCGTGAGCGGTCGGAGCCTAGGCGAAACTTCGCGATAGGCAAAAGTCAAAACTCCAACGATCAAGAAATTAATAAGAAACTATACACGTCAGCGAGGACGCGCCAACATGTTTTAATATCTCCAAGTGTATATCAGAGTTATCGCGCGTTTTGTTCTTAACTTCTGTAATTTGCCTTCGCGTCGTAACTCATGTAATCCATCTAAGATTTTATCTGCGTGCGGACCTTGTAATTGCGAAATTTTTAATGAGAAACGTACACGAAATGCTTGCCTGCGCAGGCTCATGTTCGAGCGTTAACAGCGTTAGGTATGAATCATTATTTGAAATTTCTCTCCGTCATGGGTCGGAAATCCTGTGAAATTAACTGTTGAACTGTGTAAGAATTTTAATATTACTAACTCAATATCCTGATGATTATTCGAGTGTGAATCCAGTAAAAAAAGTTGAATTAAAGAAAATTGAACCTTATGTTCCACGAATGAGTTTTAA